ACCAGGAGGACACTATATACAGTAATATGGAGTAATATTGTATGATGATCAACTATGAATAACTTAGTTATTCTCAGCAATATAATGATCCAACATAATTCTGAAGGACTTAGAATGACAAATGCTATTCATTTTCAGAGAAAGAACTGATGGAATTTGAATGCAGATCAAAGAATACTGTTTATTTTTCTTGGGGTTTTGGTCTATGGTTTCTTTCACAGCATGACTAATATGGAAATGTTTTGCAAGACTACACATGTATAACCTATATCAAACTGCTTTCTTTCTCAATGACTGGGGGAGTTCGGGGAGGGAGGGAAAGAATTTGGAAATCAAAATTTGAAAGAAGAATGTTATAATTGTTTTTACTGGTAATTAGGAGAAAATAAAATATTAAATTTTAAATTTTAAAAAAAGAGACCCACATTCTTATCGGAGGGAATAACATACACATATATATGTAAAATAGACAATATACACCTTATGGTATTACTGTGAATATCCTACACTATCTCTGAAGCCAAAGCAGAGTGTGTGTGTGTATGTGTGTGTGTGCGTGTGTGTGCGCACGCAATTACACCATTAGTCTTAATTATCTTAGCTAATTGGTTTTCTCAACTTTCCAACACAGTAATAGTAACAACACTAATAACTCACACTTACACTTACGGCATTTTAAAGATTGGTCCATGTGTTAAGAAAAGCAGAGGTGACTCTCAGCTTCCTTTGGCCAGAAATTTGCCTTTCCCTTCAAGAATAAGAGAGTAGTACAGTTATCCCTTCACATTGCAACTTTCCCCGTCGCCATTTCGGTAAATCATGGATTGACACAAGAAATTAAATGGGAATTTGGGGGAAGTTTTGCGGAAGCCAAACACTAAGGTTAGTATTTTTACTTAACACTGACCTATATATAGCCTATGACCAAATACTTAACCCAAATTTTATCATAAGGTACTGTAAAATACCTCATAAAAGAAAAAAGGAAAAAAATTCAGACTTCTCTGGTACAAAGGGAGAACCAAAAAATTTTACACAGATTTCCAGATCACAGGGGCACTGCCCATAACCCCTGCAATACGGATGGGATAACTATATTCACACTATGATTTTCAAAGTACTGGCAACCCATAATTGTACCTACAACCCAGATCTATACTTCCTTATGATGGTTCAGAAGCAGCAGAAGACACTTTTAAAGAAGCTAATGATGATTAGTTTTAGCCACTGTATGTTTAATAATGTATGCTCTGACATTTTTCTAAAAAAAGATACCATGAAATAGAAATGAGTAAGAGGATGAGAAAGGTGAGATTCAAAAGCACAATTCATTTCCTATCTGCTCCGTGACTATTCTACACTTAAGCTCAAGGAAGATGAGGATAGCAAACATTCCCAACAGATGACAAATCCCTAGTAACAGGCAGCCAACACTTCTTTGCTAAGCTACAACGTCATTTTTGGAGGATAACTCTACATTTACCCACCCACTCCTTTCCCACCAAGGACGTGATGGATCTGTAAGAACAAGACACCCATACAGGAAAAAGCCATCTCAGATTTGGCAACAAACAAGGATTTCGTTAGGAACTAAGCCTCAATATCACTTAACAAACTAAGTGGGAATAGAGTTTCTCATCAGAGCAGGAATTACTGGTAAGCAAAACTATCTTGAGAAGCCAGAACCAACCTTATGAGGTGCGGAGCTGAAGACAAATTTCAACGTGCTTCCCTACCACCATTATATGCATTAAGGACATGAAGTGAAAATTAACATTGCAGTGTGATGAAGAGTGGTACATTCAGAGTCAGAGAATAGGTTGAATCCCGCCTCTGCTATTTCCTACCTACCTAGGTGACCTTGGAAGGGCAGCTAGGTGGCCATAGTACATAGAGTGCCTGGTCTAAAGTCAGGAAGACTCAGATTCCAGGGGTCAAATTTGACCTCAGATGCCTACTACTTACTAGTTGAGCAACTCACTTAATCTCATCTGTAAAATGAGCTGGAAAAGGAAATGGCAAACCCCTCCAATATCTCTGCCAAGAAAACCCCAAATGGGGTCACAGAGAGTAGAACAGAACTTGAAATGACTGAACAACAACAATAAATGTGACCTTGGGCAAATCTCCACCTGTCTCATGTTCCCTCATTTGTTGGGGTCAGACTAGATGATCTCTAAGCACTATTACAGCTCCAATTTCAGATCTATGATTCCATGATCATGGGCTGCCTGGAATGGGAAAAGAAAGAGCAATTTGGAACCTGACAGGCATGAGCAGGATGCAGACAGAGCAGTTTGAAATGATGTTAACATAGCTTAACGGCTGTTTCTTTTTTAAACCAGCTAGCTTAAAAGGTGCTTCTCTCCTCCTCCTCTATGAATTCCCCTCAACCTCCATCTCCACAGAAAGAGTTACCCTGCAAAGAGCAGGTCTTTCCCCCATACTCATGAGACCAATCTCCTTAGCACTGTCTGTTTCCTTGGGGGCAGCAAACCAGCAGAGAACAAGGGTACAGGCTCACAGAACAGTCTTACCAGCCACAAAACTGCTCTATCACCACCCCCTGGTGGCAGACAATGCTTCTCACCCAACACTAAAAATAGGACCATCAGATGTAGAGCTAGGAAGAACTGTAAGGATCACTTAGGTTGACCAACTAATTTTACAAATGAGAACACTGAAGCCAAGAAAGAGGAATTAACCTGACAAAACTTCAGTTTAAAAAAGTTTAGTGGGAAAAGTGAAGTACACTATTAACTAAAATGAGGTCTGGGGATCACCTCTGTAATTTTATTTCTCTGGGCCAGCTTTATCCTCAAAAGACACAGAAAACTACCTCCTATCTCACCTCTCCACCTATAGCAAGAAAGTAGGTACTTAATAACTGAAGAGAGCTACCTGTACTTTGTCCCTCTGATTTTTCCAATATTGTTCCTCCAGGAAACCAAGAATGACCTTAACATTCCAGGCAAATCAACAGTACGACAGGCAGGGGAAACTTGGCATTGGAATTAAGAGTTAGTGATTTATTTAATATGGATGGAGTCCATAATTTAGGAAAACCTGAAGTAGAGAAATACAGTGTAGTAGAATAAAGGCTTGACTTGTACTCAGGAGGAAGTCAGACTCACCCTTATAGCTGTGCGAATTCGGAAAAAGCTACTTACCCTTTGAGCTTATTTTCTCCTCTGTAAAGTGGGGATGATAATACAACCTCAGAGGGTTGTTCTGATGAAAGCTTTAAAGTGCTAAGGAAATGGGACTTGTGAATCAACTTCAGAACTGTCAGCCAGTATGCTTCTTTGGAATGTCACCTTCCCTCAGCCCTCTGTGTGTTGTCTTCCCCCCATATAAGGCTGCCTTACTTGTTCATACTTGTATCCCCAATACTTGGCACCAGCACCTAGCATACAGTGAGTGCTTAATACATGCTTTATCTACATGTGGACTAAACTGAGGAGTTAGTCACCACTTATAATATTGCTTATACAAGAAAACTCCACTCACATGACTCCTTGTGAAATGAAGACTTGGTTTCAAGCAGGAAGACATCACTACTAACTAAGGATTGGTAACTCATCTTATTAAACAAGCGTAGGTACTGACTTGGGGTAGGCACACAAACACACATACGGTAAACAGTGCACCTTGGAAAGGTTGTCATATCTCAACTTGCAGACAAAAGCACTGTATCCTTTCAAAAAGTATTCTAAAGTATGCTATTATCAAGAGGCTCCTGCAGCTAAGTGTTGAGCCTGGCTGTAAGAAGACCTGAGTTCAAATTCTGTCTCAGATACTTATTAGTTGTGTGACTTTGGGCAAGTCACAACCACTGTTTGCCTCATTTTCCATAAAATGGGGATAATTAATAACACTTACCTCCCAGAGATGCTAAGTAACTCTGTAAAACAGCAAAGCACTTAGCACAGCACTTAGCATGCAGTAAGCACTATATACCTATTAGCAATTCCATTAGACTGTAAGCTCCTTGAGAGCAAAGACTGTCTTTTGCCTCTTTTTGTATCCCCAGTGCTTAGCATTTGCCTGGCACATAGTGGCACTTAAATGTTTACTGAACTGAATTTAATTCTAAGAAGTATGGCTCAAAGGCAGGCCAACCAACATGTGTTTTACCTACTGCTGTATTAATGAAAGAAAAGATGGGAAGGAGATTCCATAATTAAGAAGAGAGGCCATTTTCATGGCAACAGCAATTGTATCAGTAAATTTTATTTTGTTTTTACAAGTCTGGAGATCTGAGCCAACTAAACAATTACTGTCAGGAAATCTTAACAAGGTTAGGAAGCCAGTGTAATAGATTTAAAGATCTGCCATTTCCCTTTTTTCTCCCTGAGTACAAGGGTGAGATCCACAATGAAGAACTGAGACTCACTTAAAAGAACACATTTTTAGAACCATATTTATCACACATTTATATACTTTACCCAGTATCATCAGGCCCAAAGCTATTAAAATGTGCCTCCATGGAAGAATTAAACACATTCTCTTTGGCTAAAGGGATTTTGTGCTACAGTATCATATACATCAGTACAAATCCACAAACAAAGTATTTACTTCTTTTATTTTATTGGCTCCATTTACATTCAGATTTGAAAGACGTGAAGTTAATACCCTGCCACTTCCAGATAATAAAAAGCAGTGATATAATACATTCAATTTAGGATTGCAAAATATTTTTTCTATTCAATTACCACCCAGCAAAAGCTGGTCTAGGTTTTAACTTAAGTGGTATGTTGTAAAAAACACATTACAGTTACTGCTCTCAATTTTGGGAATCCTTCCATCTCTAACAAGTGAATCAAACCAAACCTAGGATGAAATGTTTCATCTCTAAATTAGCAACCTAAAAAGTCCTCTCCTTAGGTAGGAGCAACATCTACACCTTACCCAGTAAAATAAATTCTTATCTTGTAGAGGCAGAACAGGAAAAAAGGCAGCCTTTTGGCCTAGCTGGTTGGACTTTTATCAACAAACAAGAAAAAAAATACAGGTTACCAGGTCAAAGTACTCTCTGTCTGATATTGTTCCACTCAGAATTGAAGCACTCAAGTCTTTCATTGTTACTGAGAATCTGGATTCTTATTTTTTAGTTAGTTTCAACACATTCTGTACCATTATCCCAAGCCCATCAAAAATAAGGTGCAATGCTGTTTCACACATAAAGGCTGGCGTCGTGACCACTTTGTTCTTGATGTCCACATGAGCTTCGTAAGGAGAAGTTATGGAAAAGAAAAAGTCAACAAACTGCCAGTTCATCTGGTACTCAGCCGGATAATATTTAATTACATAAAGTATTTACATTCCTGCATCTCAGAACTATTCTCTGACTCCACTGTTGACACTGTTGGGTAATACAGTTTGTCTACTATTCAAATATATTCTTCACTGAAAGTCCTTAAATTTTTTTTGTGACAATTGAGCCAGCTTACTAAGAAAGCTACATAAGTTGCTTAGTATTTGAGGACAAGTAAGAGAATCCTATCACTTAGGCAGGTAGGTGACATTGAGCTTGGAATCACAAAGACCTGACTTCAAATACGACTTTAGGGGAGCAGCTATGTGGCACAGTGGATAGAGCACCGGCTCTGGAGTCAGGAGGACCTGAGTTCAAATCTGACCTCAGATACATAAAGCTTATTAGATGTGTTGACTCTGGGCAAGTCACTTAACTTCTGTCTGCCTCAGTTTTCTCCATTATAAAATGGAGACAATAACAGCACCTAACTCCCAGGATCACTGAGAGGATCACATGAGATATTTAGAAAGGGCTTAGCAAAGCACCTGGCACATAGAAGACATTCTACAAATGCTTATTCCCTTCCCTACTCACCTGAAACTCATAGTGGCATAAACCTAAACCAATTTGCTACACCTTAAGCTCTCCTCTGGTGGCAGTATTTGACAGAAGACAGAGAACTGCTGTCCTGTTTCTTGACAGCCAAAAAGGATATAGTTACTTCTTTCACACAGTGCTTTGCTCCTAAGGCTTTAATGGCTTCTGCAGTCCCACAATAAGGCCACTTCCCATCTTCCTCTTCTTCATGTCCTATCGTCACTTCTGTACCTGTAAGTACTTTGGCTGCAAGAATTGGTGAAATGCAGCACAAGCTGAAAGAACAATGAGAAATAAAAAGTTAAACTTTTAACCAGACATCATGCAATTAGTTGCATATAAAGAGATGCAGCAAAAGATTTACCAGCCCACAATGTATTCATTTTTTAAAAATCAGTTCATTTTTCTCATAGGAGTCTACTCAGAGGAAAAAAATATTCAGCAAACTTTGGTATTCACTGTGAATTCCAAGAATCGGTATTTTTAGTAGATTAAAATGCATATCTGAGTTCAAATCTAGCCTCAGACACTTCCTTGCTGTGTTACCCTGGGCAATTCAATTTAACCATGGTCTGACTCTGTTTCCTCCACTGGAAAATGGGAATAATTACAGTACCTACCTCCTGCAGCTATTGTGAGGATCAAATGAGATATCTGTAAATCACCTAGCACAGGGTCTGGCACACAGTAAACACCTTTGTTCAGTCATTTTCAATAATGTCCTACTCTACGTGATCCCATTTGGCATTTTCTTGGCAAAGATACTATAGCGACTTGCCATTTCTCCAGAGTAAACCCCTAATAAATGCTTATTCCCTTCCTGTCTTTCCATCTTTTGAAAGGAGAGAAAAGATGGCAGAGCAGCATAAAGAAACACTGCAAGTTCCCTCCTCCAACATAACTCTTCTAAAAAGAAATAGAAAAGGCACAAGACTAAATACTGATTGGGAAACACAAGAAAAAGTGGCCAGGGTCTGGCCAGGAACAGAGTCTAGTGTCCAGGGAATGAAAGATGGCAGAGGCTGTATACTGAGAAAGAATGAGGAATGAAACTACACTGGAGCACTACAAACTTGTACAGGGTGAGGGAACGGGTGCTACCTGGCAGCTTTGATCCAGAAAGAACTGAGAGAAACTATACCCAGAGGCAGTGCTCCAGGGAGAATTCTTGGGCTCTGGGCTATGTACTGAGCAAGAAGCAAGTTCAGAAGCAAGTAGCAACTATGTGGCTTGGAGCCCAGGACCAAAGCAAACTCTCAGTTTGGAGCAGAAACACTGGAGCCTACAAGACTATTTGTCTGAAGCAGCTGAGTACCCCATCTGGCTGACAGGAGCCCAGTCCAGCAGAAGTCTCGTGATGCTTAGACTAAAATCCAGGTCAGGAATTTGCTGAGATCAAACCAGAAGGGTAGCAATAAGACTTGCCCTGGATCAGATCATTCTATGAGTCCTGAAAGCTCGCAGGTCCCCAGACTGAGTTGTCCCTAAGAGCATGGAATAACACAATACACAGTAACTCCAAGAAAACAGCAGTGGGATCAGCCCAGATCTTCCCTCCTAGAATGCACAAAGTCCTGCCCTAATATAAAGTCTGCAATTTGGATGAGCAAACAAACAAAAGAGATTTCCACCATAAAAAGCTATTGTGGTGAAAAGCATGCTCAAGACACAAATCCAAAAGAACAGAATGGCTTCAAAATATCTACAAGCAAATACTCAAAGAAAAACACACCTCTGGTACAAATTCAACTAGAATTTTTAGAACAGAAAAGGAGTTTTACAATGTTTTTTTATAAATCAAATGAGATAGAGGGAAAAATTTTTTAAAAGAAATGAAAATAGAGGCAGCTAGGTAGCACAGTAGTTAGACCGCTAGCCCTGGAGTCAGGAGGACCTGAGTTCAAATCCAGCCTAAGACACATGATACTCACTAGCCATGTGACCCTGAGCAAGTCACTTAGCCCCAATTGCCTTGCAATAAATAAATAAATAAATAAATGAATGAATAAATAAATGAATAAATAAATAAATAAATAAAATGAGAGTGACAGAATAGAGGAAAGAATTGGAAAGGGAATTAGCTTGGCACAAGAGATTCAAAACTTTGCCCAAACAACAAACTCTCTCTAAAAATTAGAGTGGACCAAATAGAAACTAATGATTTCATGGGGAGGAAAAAAATTAAAGCCAAAATACTAAAAAAGTGGACGAAGGTTTAAGGTATCTCATAGCAAAAACAAATGACCTGGAAAACAGGTCAAGTGGGAAAGATTCAAGGATCATCGTACTACCAAAAAGAGCCCAGACATTACATTTCCAAAAAATCTTAAAGAAAACTGTCCACATCTCTTAGAATCAGAGGACAAACTGGAAATAGAAGAATCCACTAAGTCACTTTCTGAAACCCCAAAATTAAAACTCCCAGGAACATCACAGCTAAAATATAGAGCTTCCAGGCCAAAGAAAAAAATACTACAAGGAGACAGAAAGAAAAATTCAAATACCTAAGAGCCACAGTAAGGATCAGACATTATTTAGCAGCCAACACTATTTCAGAAGGCAAAGGATATAGACTTAAGAGCAAGAAAACCTTACCCAGCAAAAGTGAGTATCCCCATTCCCAACACATATAAGTGGTCAAAAATAAACAGTTCTCAAAAGAAGAAATGCACAGTAACAACTACATGGAAGAAGGCTCTAAATCACTAATAATAAGAGAAATGCAAATCAAAAGACTGAAGTTTCACTTCATACACTGCAAACTGACAAGGATGACAAAAAAATGGCAATAGTCAATGTTGGTAGCACTGGGAGATGACAAGCATATGGATGCATTATTGGTGGAGCTATGAATTGGCCCAATCACTGTGGAAAGCAATTTGAAAATAAGTTAAGAAAGTGACAAAAATGTCCATATCCTTTGACCCACAGATCACACTGTTAGGCATATACATTAAGGAGATCAAAGACAGTGATAAAGGACCCATATAAACCAAAATATTTGTAGTAGTACATCTTGTAGTAGCAAAAAATTAGAAACACAGTAAAGTAGATGTTCAACAACAGGGAAATGAGACTAAACAAACTGTGGAACATAAATGTAATGTGATAGTACTGCCTTGTAAGAAACAATGAAATAAATACAGAGAAGCACAGGAAGACAATAAAAAGTAAACAGCACTAGGAAAAGAATAATACATGACTATAACAATGTAAATGGGAAAAAAAATTGAATGTTATGTAGTTAAGATAACCAAGCTTAGTACCATAGAGATGAGAAAACATACTTCTCTCCCTTCTTTGTAAAGGGATGAGGGGTAGGGGTGAGAGGAGGACTAAACACCCAAGTCAATAAACATTTATTAAGCACTTATTACATGCCAGGCCCCGGCGGTTAATGCTGGAGATACAAAAAGAGGTAAAAGACAGTCCCTGTCCTCAATGAGTTCACAATGGGGGGGGGGGGCAGGGCGATGACACAACAAGCAAACAAATGTGTACAAGCAAACTATATATGGAATATATAAGAAATAGTTCAAAGACAGAAGGCACTAGAATTAAGAAAGGTCATGGAAGGTTTCCTGTGGAAAGTGGGATTTTAGTTGGGACTTGAAGGAAGCCAGAAGGCAGAGATGAGGAGGAAGAGTTTTCAAGGCATGGTGGAACAGCCAGAGAAAATGCTCAGAGGCAAGAGATAGTGTCTAGTTCACGTAACTGCCAGGAGGTCAATCACTGGATCGAAGAGTATGTAATGGGGAACAAAGCATAAGAAGACCTGGGGGTGGGGGTGGGGGGGAGGTGGAGGAGAGTAAGTTATGAAGGGCTTTGAATGAGCATTTTGTATTTGATCCTGGAGGCAATAAGAAACCACTGGAGTTTACTGCATGGGGTGGGGGGGTAAATCAATCAATCATTTTTTTTTAATTCACTGACTTATTAATTTTTTTTTAAGTTCTACAAAGCATGGTGTTTCACATTCATTCTGTATCAAAAGTTAGTGAAACCATCATTTCCCAACCAAAGTTTCAGGACATATCACAAAGACTGAGCTGGCACAAAAAGAAGAGCTAACCCTACACTTGGCTCTTTCTCTACAGAGTAACTTCAGCAGGGCCAGCTTTGCTTGTGTGCACCATACCTTTCCTTCCTCCCCATCAAGATAAGGCTCTCCTTCAGTCTTCTCAGAGTAGAACACTAAGACAGCTGAGAACCCATTGCCTTTTCTTCTTGCTCTTCACTATTTTTTTTTTTAGGCAATTGGGGTTAAGTGACTTGCCCAGGGTCACAGTTAGTAAGTGGCAAGTGTTTGGTCTGAGGCCAGATTTGAACTCGGGTCCTCCTGACTTCAGGGCCGGGGCTCTATCCACTGCGCCACCCAGCTGCCCCCTCTCTTCACTATTTTAATCAAATGTAATCTTTTAAAGGCACACTTTTCCCAGTTACGCTCTTCAATCAGCAGATAGCCATCTAGGTGCTAATTTTCACAGTGAATGTGCCATTCTTACATCATTCCCCTCTGAACCTCCCCAAAATGCCACAGCAGACTTAGAAATTTATTTATATGTCACACTGAAAGGACTGAGTAACACTGAAAAATACAGTTACTTACAAAACATTCCAAATACTTTCTAATAACTTGGATGAATTAGATATTTATAGATGTCTGGAAAATTCTCAGTTCATTTAATTCTTAGTTTCATTTCTCTGATTCCATTACTGTCTATTAAAACTTCTGGTAAGATGACAGAAGGAGAGGTAGTTAAGAGACTATAGTTCCCCCAACAGCCCCCAGAAATACAGAAATACAATTGTCAACAAGCAGAGTAACTAAAAACCCTCCCCCAAAAATTGGTTCACAGAAAAAGAAAAGGCATAATTAAAGAAATAAACAAAAACAGCTTTAACATAATGAATAAATGTTACAGGTTAAAAAAAGAAGACATCAGAAGGAAAAAATGATAAACAGCAAAGATGCCTCTCTCCCTATTATTAGTTGACATAGTGCTAGAAATTTTACCTATAGCAATAAGATAACAAAATCAAAGGTGTAAGCACTGGCAGAAAAGAGAAAAGTTTATCACTATTTTCAGGCAACATAATACTGTACTTAGAAACCCTCAGAGAAGCATCAAAAACTAATTTAAACAATTAATAGATAGATATAACAATTGTAGAATATAAATAAATTCACAAGGAGCAACAGTATTTAGACACAGTACTAACAAAAGCCAGGAAGAAACCATTAGGAAAATTCCATTCAAAGTAACTACAAAAT